GGAGTGTTCTATAAATTCTAGAGATAAGTCCCTTGTCAGATATGTTATTACCAAATATTTTTTCCCAATCTGTAGGTTCTATTTTGACTCTTTTGGAGAAGTCTTTGGAAGCACATAAAAATTTAATCTTTAGAAGGTCCCAATCATCTGGTTTCTCTTCTGCTGTTTGTGCACTTTGAATTATGCTTGGTAGTCCATTTATGCCATGTACTAGGGCCCTTAAATTTGACCCTAAATTTTCCTTGAGGAACTGTATAGTTTTAGGTTTCACATTTAAGTCTTTGATCCATCTGGAGTTCATTTTTGTGTATTTTGTGTATGGTGCGAGGTACAGGTCTTGTTTCATTTTTCTGCAAATGGATCTCCAGTTTTGCCAGCACCATTTATTAAACAAACATTCTCTTCCTCATTTAATGGATTATGGGCCTTTTTCAAAGATCAGCTGACTATAGGTCGATGGATTCTATCAGAATTTTTAAAGCAGCTTAATTATCTTCTAGCATCTAATATTGCTAATGGGAAGTATGATGGCAGTCTGATTATTGTTCCTTTTTGTATAACCTGTTCTCTGTCCCTGCTTCTCCTCACTCACCCCCCGACACTCTGGACACTTTTTATTGTTCTTGGTGTGTAAAAATAATCCCATATCTGTATGTAGGTTTGGTACTTAGTAGGTCCTTTCAATTTTTGACATCACCAGTGTAGGAAATTTTCTTTCTTTCTTTTCTTGTCCTATTTGTTTCTCTTAACACCTTTTAGTTGGGTTTTGGATCTTTTTTTAAAAATACGTCCTCTGTATTTTATTTTCCTTTCTCTGTCATTTGTCCTGCATTTATCTTCTAAATCTTTTTATTGAACTTATTGTGTCATGCATATTTGAATTTCTGAAAGTACTTCTGCTCTTGTTCATAGCATTTTGTACCTGTTTAACAGATGCAGTATGTCTTTGTGACTCTGTCCAAAGATACCAATAGAGTTGTCATTCATTCATTTTCTAGACCTGAATTATCTCTTTCCTTTGGTGATAGATGTTTTTGCTTATTCACAGTCTTTATGTTTCAGGCTGTTTTCAACTGTCTAGTGATTGTTGGTTGTCAGTTTGTAGTTGAAAATGTGCATGTTGGCAGGTTGGGTGGTAGTGTCAGATGGACAAGGTTTGGCTTCTCAAAACCATCACTAAAGATGAATTGGTGAAGCTGGCTGTTATGATGGGGGTTGTCTAAATGCAGTAATGAAGAGGTCTTTATTCTTGGCTACCAATTTCAGTACTGACTGCCCTAGTTCTCTCTAGACAGTTCTTTCACTTATTTTCTAAAAGATAGCCCCAATATTTTGCTTGAAGGCAAATACCTGGACTCAGGCCCTTCTGAATTTTTTAATTTTTTGAGGCCCTTCTGAATTTGGAGATGGGAGATATAGGGTAGAGTTCAACTGTTTTGAATATAGACCTTTAATCAACCCTTGCTAGTAAATTGTTTCTTTTTATCTTGAAGTGATAGCCTTTTTATCCCTAATAATACTCCCAGCCCCACTTAATCTGATTTCATTAATCTCTTTTTTCTTTAATATAGTTATATTAATATTGTCACACTAGATTTTTGTTATTCACCTAGTGTGTTTTCTGTCCCTGGTGGAGTAGTGCCTAAGGCATTTGACTCCTTGGAGGGAAGACTGGACAATTTACTTCCATAGAGATCCTTCCTTGGAAACCCAAGGAGGGGTCGCTATGAGTTGGAACCAACTTGACAGCAATGAGTGGTTTTTGGTTTGGTTTTTTCCAACCTTTTAATGTCATTACGTTTTAAGTTTGTCTTTTGAAAACTGTATGAAGCAAGATCTTTTATTCCCGCCCCCCCAATCCAGTTATTTACCCTTTAATGTATTTACTTACTGATATATTTCTACCATCTTGTTTTTTTCTTTCCCCTTCTTTTTCTCCTTTCCTGCTGCCAAAAGGGCATGAGGTGGGCATCTTCTGACCTCCTCTAACTTTACAAGAGGTAGACAGAATCACCTTCAGCAGCTCAAGGCTTGTTCCTATGAGGCCAGACATGCTGTCACCCTCCAGCCTTTTACCAGTTCTGATACCAACCATCCTTCCTACAGCACTCCTTTTCTGCTGATTCATTTCAATGGCTGCACAGAACTCACAGATAATACTCACAATTGTGGGGTTTATTAGGGAAGTAACAGGCTACAATTCAGGTTTAGGAGTGTGCTCAAGATACAGTTCTTTGATCAAGACAGTCTCCCCTGTGCTGTGCCCTCAGGCTCACTTCTCTGGCCCTT